TGCAACAAACACCACACCATAAAGGCAGAGAACCTGAGACCTTTACCTGCAAATCAACCTCAAAACAAGAGAAACACTACAGCACTATGACAATTATACAGCAAGGGATCAATATGAATAAGATCATAACAATGAAAATAACAGGGAAGAAGATAAGAACACAATTGAACCACAAAAGGACATAGTGAACATTATCTTCCTCAATGCTACTCAATCCTCTGTCTGCATGATTTGAACTCTAACCCACCTTGAGCTACCTTCAGAATAGCAGAGTCTGGGAGCCAAACTGATTGAAATTTCCAGAGATTATGAGTTATCCACAACCACCATAAGATGTAGTTGTCAGCTCAATTCTAGATTCAGAGATCTCTTTCTTGTCCACAGAGCAAATATGACTCCATCAATGCTTAAAGGTAATGATGCCTTCATCTGTTGTCCATTGAACTGAGCCAGCTTCCAAATTTTCTGGGCTCTCTCAGAGTGCAACATCACAGGTTCTATAGACTCCAAATCCTCACCACAGTTAATGCATCTAGGTTCCACTTCAATACCTCTCTTCAACAGATTTAAACAAGTAGGTAGGTTGTTGTTGCAACACTTCCAGATGAAATGTCGGAGTTTGTGTTTGATTTTCAGGTTCCAGCTTCTACATCTGAGTGCCTTATCTTTCAGAGCAGAGTCACTACCCTCAGCAACATCTAAATCCAAGGCTTTGTTCAGCACCAAGTGGGAATATGAGCTAGAGACATAAAACTTACCTTTAGAGTCCAATAGCCATTTCCATTTGTCATGTAGTAAGGGGTCTAAAGCGGTAATCTTCATAATCTACTCAACATTTGGTTGATGGAAGCACTCCTCCAGCAAGCTTCTGTTCCAGGTTTTGCCATCTTCTTGGATAAGATCTGCAACCCAGGTCACTTTCCTCATTCCTGCTTCATTCTTGGTTGGCAGCCCATCCACTTTTCTAGTGAGCCAGGGGTCATTCCAAATGCTGATGTGTCTACCCTGCATTACAACCACTCTGAAATGATATTTAAATTTATCTTTGACTCCCATCCAATTACTCCATAGCCATGACATATTATAAGGTCTCTTTTCTTGCAAAATGGAGCAGTCATGGAAGTATTTGCCTTTTAGAACTCGAGTGACAAGCAAATTGGGATGAGTGACTAGTCTCTACAACTGTTTGAGAATAAGGGCCTCATTAAACAATAACACATCCATGAACCCAAGACCTCCTACAGACTTTGGCAATGTCAGATTGTTCCATTTTTTCAAGTGCAAACCAACTTGCATTTCCCCCTTGCTCCACAAAAAACAGCAGATAATCTAGCGATCTCATGACAGGAACTTTTGGGTAGACAGAAACAAGACATTGAGAAGACAAGGAGGGCCCCCAAAACAGCCTTCATTAAAACTTCCTTGTCTGCAGCTGATAGAAACTGATTCTTCCAACTTACCAATTTGTCTCTAACTGCTTTTAGAATGAATTCAAAAGACTCCTTCTTAGATCTACCAATACCTAGAGGAAGGTCAAGGTATCTAGTAGACCTGTGAGATTGAATATTCCCCAGCATATGGCAAATAATAGCTTTCTGAGCAGGCAAGCAATTCCTACTGAAAAAAATAGTAGACTTTCCAAGATTAACCGTTTGTCCTGTAAATTGTTGATATTTGAGCGACATGGACATTAACACTCTGGTATGGTTCTCAGTGGCTTCACACATAATCAATGTGTCATCTGCAAACATCAGATGGGAGACAACAGGGCTTTATTTGGCAATTTTTAAACCAACAAATGTACCTGTAACGCCCAGATATTTATTTACTATTTATGGAGCTCGACTATATTTTCCATAAATATTAAGTTTCCAAATTTGATGCATTTATTATATTTACTTGCATTAAATTAAATAATTAATATTAAAGTCTAAGCCATGGAGAAATTATTCGATTTTAATCATTAAAGTCAAATTTATTTAGCCCAAGTATCGGTTCTATTTTAAAATCGAGGCTTGGGAATGATCAGAAATCTTATTAAAGCGGATTGAAGCCAAATAACTAATTTATTCGAGCCTAATTATTTTCGAGCGAGTCCAATTATTTTAGCCGACCCATTTAATTTAATCGAGCCTATGTTCGATTTTATTTCTGCCCATTTCATTTAAGTAAATCGAGCCCATGTTTGATTTGATTTTAGTCCATTTAAAAATCGAGCCTATAATCGATTTTGAAATCCGAGCCCAACTATTTTAGTAAATAACTGACTAATTAATTTAGTCCAAGTCTCGTTACCTTTTAAATTGGCCGAACATTTAATATCTAGCCCGATTACATATTCGGTTTTTTAAGCACAAGTGTTAAAAATTTAAAAAGCCCAATTTTAGGCCCAAAATGCAAGTCAAACCCTAGTTTCCCTACATATATATATACACACCCTTAGTCACTACTCCCAACAGCAGCATCTGCGCAGCTCACTCACCTCCATCTTCCACATCCATTCATCATCATCACCTTCACACCAGAAAATCCGGTGAGCTACAGTGACCGACGTCCGACGAAAACCCGACGAACCTCCGGCGAACTCAGCCCCGTCGAAAACACCGCCGTCGCTCAGCTCCTCCCTCTCCCGCAACAGCATTCCACCGTTCGCAAGCTTAGCTACGTCTTTGACAGCTCCGTCGAGTTCAACACCACCGTCGTCGCAGCTGCTTCGCGTCGACCTGAACTTCGGCGAGCTCAACTCTGTTCGCCTCCTAGCTTTGGTCCCGTCGCAACTCCTGTACAGCTCCGGTTCGACCAGCTCCAGCGAGTTCTACCCGTCTAAGCTCAGCCTCGCCATCCTAAGCTCAGTCCCGCCACGGCGAGCCCTTCACCGCGACCCGCCTCTGCCGTCCTCGAGCTCGCGACTCTCGTCCGACGAGCTCGAACCCGCCGGCGTCCCGCCACCAAGCTCGACGTCGCAACCACCTCAGTCACGCCATCCATAGCCAAGCCCGAGTTGTTCCCGTCGAAGTCGCAACCCTCTCATTTCCGGCGTCCCCCAGCTTCCCGCCGAAAATAGGACCGCACCTTAGCCCTTTCCGGCGAACCACCTTCATCGTCCGAACAGGTCCAGCAGCCAGACACCGCCCGTTTCACTCTTTCTCGCGTGCCACTCCACCGGCAGCACCTCGAGCCATCTTGGTCTTCACGTGTCCGGTGAACCAGCCTTAGCCGTTGTTGTTTATGGCCAAATCACAGCGAGCCTGGCCTGAGCAGAGGCCCTCACCAACTTCGACCCATTTCAGTAGCTCCGACCCGGTTTCACCTCATCGACTCATTTCCTTAGCTTTCCTTTATTCGATTTATTCGATTCGCGCCGATTTGAGGTAAAATAGCTTGAACTCGACTCCAATGGCTTAGATATGATTAGTTAAGGTGATATAAGAATGTGAATTTGAGGTTTTGAGTGACTTTTGAATTTTTGGGATATTTACTAGTTTGAAGAGAATTTGTCGGACTTGTTATATAAGTGCGATAAAATGATGAATTAAATTTTATAAAATTTGTTGCGTTGTCTTGAGGCTTAGGTGCGAATTTTAGAATTTTCAGAGTTCGTTTGATAGACGAACGAGATTTTTGAAATAATTGGCGGTTGATGTTGTTTTTAGTTGAATGGGTTGTAGATGGATTTTTGACTTGATATTTGGATCATGAACCATGTATGTGTTGAGGATGGCGTGTTTCGAATTTTGTAATTTTCCGAAACCGTTTAACCTAGATTAAAAATCGGGACTTTAGCCGTTAAAATGAGATAATTGTAGAAATTAGTCAGTTGTGTTTTTAGCTGCAGTGGTTGGATGTAAAATCCTTATAAATCACCCAGCAATTTTGATTTACTTATCGACTTTAAATGAGAAAGGATTTTTGAGAATCAAAAACTCTAGTTTTATCCGGTTCCGATAACCGGGTATTATTTTGGATCCGAGTTTAACCGATCGAACTCTAGTACCGCTTAAATAGTTTTAGACGTCGTAGAATTAATTCTTAAGGGCATCTTCGTCCCTCACACTTGATTAACTCTCGTCCGACCGTTGAAGTCGAACCACCGAGTGCGTGCCTGCGCACCGAGTCCGAGTCAAACCACCGAGTGCGTGCCCGTGTACCGAGTCCATCCGATCTACTATCTACGCACCGTTTCTGTTAGTCGTGGTCCAAGAACGGCCATGCGTCAGTGACCGTGGCATCATTTCAAACCCGTGCATCGGCTAAGTCGTGTTAGTCGAGTTCGTGCTGGCCTGAGTTGCCACGCCGAACTCGGACCACGGTCAAACCGAGCTGCACAGAGTCAAGTGAATGATCGATCGACTCCGAGTGAGCTTTCGGTCCAGTTCAGTCGAATCGGTTCGGTCAGTCCGGACGGTTCGAGATATATTTCAGATAGAATTTCAGATATATTTCAGATAAAGTTAAGATTCAAGATAGATTGATGATCCAGATATATTTTAGATTTCAGTAAGATAAGATTAAGTCACATTTTAGTTTCAGACTTATAAATACTTCAGAGAACTCTAGTATGCCTCAAAGACAATAAGTTTTC